CTTCGGGGGTCGACCTTTGCCATCTTCTCCACGACAGGGCGGTGCTTCGCCTTGATCCTACCTTCATTCCGACGGTGAACACTACCTTCCTTGGGGCTCAGGAGATAGTCCTGCCCGACCTTTGCCCAGGCCTGTTCCAATGATAGGGAGAGGCTCTGGCATCAGTTGGACATGCGCCGAGCTCTGCGGATTTACCTCCGGCAGACCAAGGGGGTCCGTAGGTCGGAAGCCTGGTTTGTTTTCGTTCCAGCCGGGGACGTTTGGTTCTGGGGGGTCCTCGGCCACCATTGGCCATTGGCTGCATCAGGCCATTGCAGGGCCTACGGAGCAGCTGGTCGTCCGGCCCCGTTGGGCACCATGGCCCGTTTTACTAGCAGTGCCATGACCACGGCGGCGTGGGCCACGAGGGCCCCGTCTGCTGACGTTGGTCGTGCGGCCACTTGGGCTTCTCCGACGCCTTTCACCTGACATTATCATCTGGATGCCTTCGCTTCAACGGATGCGTCCTTTGGCTGGTAGGTATTGCAGTGGGTGGCGGCTGATGCTCCCCTTGGGCCTTAGTGGTTTCCTGTTTTCCCTCCCTGGGACTATAGCTTGGGTATGTCCCACAGGTGACCACTCCCTCCCTTCCTCTGGAAAAAGAATGTTGGTCTTACCTGAACGTGTCTTTTAAGAGGAGGGGAGGGAGTGGTCATGACCCGCCCTAGTGAATTTTCCTTTGGGGCCAAGGGGAGGGCCCGGGTGGTTCCCGGGGGGGTGGTGTTTCGTTGTTGTTGTTGTTTTGTCATTTCAGTTCGCCTTCGAGAAAACTGGGATAGGACTGGAAGGCACCAATATTTATGATTTTGCTCTCAGTCTTTGGACCAATCAGGCTTTGAGAATACCCACAGGTGACCACTCCCTCCCCTCCTCTTAAAAGACATGTTCAGGTAAGACCAACGTTCTTTTACTTAAAATACACCTAACAACCAGTTTGTATTATGTAATTCCAGGGTGGAGGGGTAGTACATATCAATGCAAGTGGACATACTATATATTTGACTAACTCTAGCAAAGTTTCTTATCAGAATTTACAGTATGTCAGATCTCTAGTTTCATATCATGTTCCAATCTTTGTACCAAATCATATAATATATCCATTACCATCCCAGCCCACATGTCTAAGTATACTGAATTGTCCTAAAGAAGAAAACAAGCTAATACTATTAAAGCTGTTAAAGGTGACACTATTAAAATTGTTAATAAAGTACAAAATCCTATAGAATGGCTAGAAAAGACTGAGTAGATAAGGACATGCAGGAGTTAGACAAAATAGTAACATGTGAATAGAAAGGTGCAGAAAAAAATTGTACAGAAATAAAGAGATTGTAATCAAAGCCTCAGTTCCTCAACTCTACGGCTCAACTGCCTTGACATACTTATAGCATCAATATTGCTCTTAACCAATATCTTTTTCTCTTAGAAATCCATTAAATTTCAATACAAAGGATAAAATCAGTATTCAGATCATGATTCTCAATTGCAATTCTTATTCCAGGATGAAGTCTTAATTCTAGGACTTTCATATAACCCAATTAGAAACAGAATTTTATTTCATTGCTAAGCAACCACAATGACAGATAATCCTTAAATCATGAATCTGCATGAAATTTTTGTACATTTTATATTCTTCAGTGCATATAAAATGTAAAATATTTTAATTGAGAATCATATAATTTTAGAAGTCTGCATTGCTTCCTTTTCCAATTTATCCATATTCAATTCCACAACATCATAAACAGTGGTGGAGAATGATAAATGGTAACATGCAGCAATATTAATTGTATAAAAAGTTTGGGTAATTCTGAAAAATAATACAAAGCCACAATACAAATTAAACATTTTGAAAAATATGTCTTAAATCAATAATTTTAAGAAGCTATACTTACAAGCTTCCTCTTCTAGGGAGACTAAGCTCTTTCTGTGGGAGAGAAAAAAAGAAAACCAATAAGATGATTTAGAGCAGGTTATTAGAGTTGCTTGGTGAGTGAGTAGCTATTTACAGTGACTGGAATAATAAATAAAAGATAACTATCTCTAAATACAGCATTGTAAAAATATTGATTGCATTACTCTAAATGTAACTCTTGTAAATATTCATTTTTTTGTAAATATTTATATATTCTTTTTCAACTCTATAATTTTTTAACTGATTTACAAGTTAAAACTGCACAGCAAGATATAAACAAATCATAATAATGAATCTTAAGGCTTTCAGTGGCACTAATTTTAATGAGTTTATTTTTCAAAGCAACTGAATCGTTTTTCAGGTTTGTGCTTGCTTTAGTAAATAGAGGCATTTATTTTTGCATAAGGCCCGACACAGTTTTTACAAGTCATTTTCATAGCAAATACAGCCCTAATGCAAAATATGGAATTCAGTTTTAGGGACTTTTTTGCTACATTTACATGTAAATATAATCCTTCACCACTAGATGGTATGATTATTCTTTTTAGCAGCGGTATAAAAAAAGTGAAAAGATTAACACCTTCAGGATATCGCTAGGTTGGTGAGTGGTGCTCTGCCTGGCTGGAGGGGGAGTTGCCCAGGGGGCTTATTTTCAGGGGGCCTTATATTTTTGCCCAGCCGAAAAATGTGGCAAGGCCTTAATTTCAGGACAGGTCATATTTTTGGGGAAACACGGTATTATTAGTTTTCAAAAAGAGACTTTCAGGAGGACAATGTTGGCTTGATCCATCCAAATTATATTTGACTGCACTTTTATATTATGCATTTCTTCCGTATTTATTGTTATACAACATACTGTATATATAAGGTGACCAGATTTTCAGATTGGTAAAGAGGGACACCTTTGACCTTAACATCTCAGCTTTGCTGCCTACTCAGACCAGCTGAGCCTCCCTGGACATCGCAGCAGCAGCAGCCCCAAGTGCGCCAATCTCGGCGTTTTTCGCATCGGGGCATGCTGCAAGAAGAGGGAGTGAGTGAAGACCTTTTCTAGCCNACAGATTCCTTCCTTTATTTTTCTAATTAGCTCCTATTAATAGTACAAAAGGTGTATGGATTGCTCTGGTATAGTTAAGTGCCAATTCTTGGAGAAAATGGGGTGTAAAAGAAAGAAAAGGATTTATGAAGGATTTAGATCTTAATGCAGGAAGTATACAATTGATTTCATACATATGTTTTACAAAGGTATATGTTTTGCAAATGTTTAACAATTAAATGCTTAAAAGGAAAATACTTTTATAACAGCATAATAGAACAAATGTTTATAGAATGATAGGTTTCCCTTTATTATATTTTAATTTTGAATTCCTTTATAGTTTTCTACCCCTCCCCCCCATAACTGCCCATAAAATATTTTACTAGCATAGCTTCTTCTTATCTCTGTCTACTTGGCATTAAGGAATGTTCCCTTAATTACGCCTCTTTCTAACAGTATACTTTCAGCATGTCTTTCTTAAAGCAGAATAATGTTTATATGCATTTCTAACCTACATACTATTTTATTTTTTGAACTTTCTTATTTCCTACAGACTTACTATTAAGCACAATACCATTTTGTGGAACACATATGAAAAATGCCTTTTTAGTTTTGGTTATTAAGATGTGTCATAGCTATCAGATTTTTTTCAGTTAAAGTATCTTGACCATGAATTAAAATATACATGAATTTTTAACTGCACACAAAATAAGACTTCACTATAGTTGCACAGACAACAACCCAACTTTCCATAATTCATGTATCTCGGTGTATAAATAAAAGAAGTGCAATATAAAACAAACATAGATGGGCAAAAGACTGTTTAGTATGTATTTCAAAAGTATATATTATTTAGTCATTTTTCATAGGATTTGTTCAAAACTGCAAAACATCAAGCAATTTATCTTAATATGGAACCTATGACTATTGCTTTCTAAAAAGAATAATACTGTGAAAATATATTTACTATCCCTTATCTTTCATATATCTTAAAATTTAATGAGATTCAGGAGCTTGTGAATAATGGCAGAGTTATAAATGAAGTTTATGAATTAAGAGAATGTTGTGTCTTTTCATATTTATTTGTGGGATGTAGTAAGTGCTGAAAATTCACTTTCATGAAAACATGTTGATGCAATCAGTAATAGGATTCTTAATTTTGATTTAATGCTTATTACCTGAGAAAAAAACTATATTGACTACTTTCAAGCTATTCAGGGAATATTGATGTTTCATGAAACATTATTTAAAGATTATTTATATACACTGTATTTACAGTGTATTTATATACACTGTTCATATCCAACATAAATATTTCCAAATGACACAATTACAATAGAAATGAATAATATAGAAAAAATCTAACTGCTTTAACATAAACAAAACAAAATATTTTGTTGTGAAAAAACAAAAACTTTCTTCTACATCACCCTTAGACAAATGCTAACAGAATAGAATTCTGCAGGATAATAGGTAAACCATGCAGTTTGTGTAATTTATTGCTACAACTGAATTATACTACTGAATTTGTTTCAGAATTGTGTATGAAAAATAAACAGTACCTGGTTTATTTAAAATCTGTATTTAGAAGCAGGCTACATGTCAATTATTCCATATTCTTCAAGACTAAGGTGACCAGATTTTCAGATTGGTAAAGAGGGACACCATTGANAAGCTTCATCACTGGAGGCTTTCAAGAAGAGATCGGACTGCCATTTGTCAGAAATGGTGTAGGGTCTCCTGTTTGGGCGGAGGGTTGGACTAGTCGATCTACAAGGTCCCTTCCAACTCTGTTAAATCTGTAATCTACATGAAAATACTAGGTGGGGTCATTTATTGGCATGGGATTAAGTAGGATCAGTTTGTAGAAAATACATGGTTATACATCTTGGTTCTTGGCTAAACAAATGAGGTGATCCAATCCCTAGAGGATATCAGGCCTGGATAGTGAGAAATAGTTTCTGGCTTACCTCAAGATGATGAAATGGATGTTAGTTCAGAAACTAGCCAATTCCAAATTGACTCCAACTGTGATTACGCTTTCCTGAAAGAACAGCCCTAAATGGGGAGGGGGTTGTTCTCCTGGGGGCTTGAATTCACAGATTACCTGCATATATAACTGGAGATTATGGCCAAAAAGGCCAGGTATTGCAAGTGTTCCAGTAGCTGCCTTTTCTGGAACAAAAGGCACCAATTACAGTCACTTAAAACCTTGCCACCTTGTCTGGGGTGGGTTTCAACCGGTTCACGGCGGTCCCCGCGAACCGGTTGGTCGTCGAACCCGGAAGTAAGTAACTTCCAGGAACGGCGAAGGGCCCACCCACCCACCTGCCCGCGCTCCTTACCGGTCTTTGAAGGCTTCTGCGCTTCCACGCAGGTGCATGACACATACAGCGCCTGCACGAGTCTCTGCGAGCAGCTGGAGCATCGCGCAGGTGCTAAGACGCATGCGTGAACTGCGCGCGTGCACGAGGACACCGCCGGCCCCGTTCCAACCGAACCGGTTGGAATGGGATTAGCAACCCACCCCTGCACCTTGTGAACTGCTTACTGTAATTTGGTCTAGATGAGGATGCACTTGAGGCAGAGGTGGGTTCCTACCAGTCCAGACGAGTTCGGCCAAGTAGGTAGTAACTCGGCCCGCCACGCCCCCAAACTGGTTCTATCGGCGGTGGCAGCGTCTTGATTTTTGGTTCTGCGCATGCGTTGAAGGCCCTGTTGACTTGTATGTCACTAAGAGTCATCCAGAGTGAAACAGCATAAAAGAGGTTATAAACAAAAATTGCTTCTCTACAGTCACTCAGTGATGGTGCTAGCTAGCATTCTCTCTACAAAGCATTCCCTTCTTTCGATCTGCAGAGTCTGGCATTGGTACAGGATTCCGATTGCCAATATGCCCGTTCATATGGTCAGAAAAGCAAAATAACGCAACAAAACAAAATCATTCTCCCAATCCATTGACAAACCAATTGACAATGTGGAAGTGGGAATAAAAACATCCTTCCCTTTTGTGCCAAACTGCACACCCTTTGATTTTCCTGAAATCAGTGGGAAAAAGAAGATCCCAAAGTGTCTTTTTTTCAAAAAGGAATTTATATTTTTTTTGGGGGGGAGGGTGTTTTTTTGAAAATATTTCGCTTCTAATCCAAGAAGCTTCTTCAGTTCTGACGGAATGGTGGGGAATGGAAGGATTTATATTCCTTGCAGTTATTTGGTCATTAGCTCTCTGAGAGTCGTTGAAGCCATTTTATGTGATACAGATAAACAGATGAGAAAAGAAATATTTTCAAAGAAAAATCCCAATTGCTTCTTGGAAAAAAAAAACACTTTTTGGACAACTGCGACCTGGATTAAGAATCTCCATAGACAGAAAAAGAAGATCCCACCCCTTTTTATTCAGCAAAAAGAAAAAGGCTGCTTTTGTAGATTTGGGGTATACCAAGTGCAGAGATAGAAAGTTAGGATACATTTTGGCACTGGAAAGTGTTAATTATAGGAAACAAAATTCTGGTGAAAGGCAGAGCTGGAAAACCTTTCTGTGTTCCAGTATAGCCACATTCAATTACCCTTGACTTTCATAGTCTCTTACAAATAGATGTTTTGCATGGTGCTGCACCACCAAATGGAATCACCAATATCAAAATTTCCCATCAGTCCAGATTCTACCATGTTTTCCCGAAAATAATACAGGGTCCTTTTTCTTTTGACTCCCTGAAATAAGTGCTCCACCTGATTTTCAGGGAGGTATTATTATTTTTGAGGTGCAGAAGGCAGCGAGCGCGGTCACCTCATGGCTGCTGCTGTGTTGCAATATTTTCAGGGAGGGCTTATATGCATGCACTCAAAAGTCCGATTTTGGCTTATTATCCGGGGAGGTCTTGTTTTGGGGGAAACAGGGTATTTTACTTGCAACTTTAGCATTCTAGTTTCTTATAATTGATAGGGTGTCTTTTGGGAAGGTAGTGTCAACGAGGTG